GGCGCTCCAACCCCCTGATCGGCCCTGCTCTGTGTGTGACATGGTAGAGCCATAACCTCTCCATCGGCCCTGCCCCGAGTGTGACAGTGGTGGCGCCCCAACCCCCTGATCGGCCCTGCTCTGTGTGTGACATGGTAGAGCCATAACCTCTCCATCGGCCCTGCCCCGAGTGTGACAGTGGTGGCGCCCCAACCCCCTGATCGGCCCTGCTCTGTGTGTGACATGGTAGAGCCATAACCTCTCCATCGGCCCTGCCCCGAGTGTGACAGTGGTGGCGCCCCAACCCCCTGATCGGCCCTGCTCTGTGGGTGATAGAGGGTGGCGCCCCAACCCCCCTCCACGGGCCTTGCTCTATGTGTGACAGGGTAGAGCCATACCTCTCCATCGGCCCTGCCCCGAGTGTGACAGTGGTGGCGCCCCAACCCCCTGATCGGCCCTGCTCTGTGGTTGATAGAGGGTGGCGCCCCAACCCCCCTCCACGGGCCTTGCTCTGTGTGTGACAGGGTAGAGCTATAACCTCCCCATTGGCCCTGCCCTGAGTGTGACAGGGTGCAGCGCCCCAACCCCCCTCCACGGGCCTTGCTCTGTGTGTGACAGGGTAGAGCCATAACCTCCCCATCGGCCCTGCTCCTCAACCCCCTGATCCGCCCTGCTGTGTGTGTGACAGGGGGCGGTGCCCCAACCCCCCAATCGGCCCTACCCTGAGCGTGACTGAGGGTGGCATCGCAACCTCCGGATCCGCCCTGCTCTGTGCATGACAGGGGGCAGTGCCCAACCCCCTGATTGGCCCTGCTCTGTGCGTGACAGGGGGTGGCGCCGCAACCTCCCCATCGACCCTGCCTTGAGTGTGACAGGGGGCGGGGCCCCAATCCCCCAATCGGCCCTACCCTGAGCGTGACTGAGGGTGGCATCGCAACCTCCCGATCCGCCCTGCTCTGTGCATGACAGGGGGCGGCGCCCCAACTCCCCAATCGGTCCTGCTCTGAGCCTGACCAGGGGCTGCACCTAGGGATTGGGCCTGCCCTCTGCCACCCGGGAGCAGGCCTAAGCCAGCAGGTCGTTATCTCCCGAGGGGTCCCAGACTGCGAGAGGGCACAGGCCGGGCTGAGGGACCCCCCCTTCCCCCCCCAAGTGCACAAATTTTTGTGCACCGGGCCCCTAGTTATTTATAATAGAAGCTGTATCTTAATTAGTGACAACAGAAGAAATATGTGTGGAAACTTATTCTACCTAGCATCTGTTACAGACACTCTGGGTTAGCTAAATAAGCGTATTGTTTTGTAGTGTGGGACTCCCGAATAAACTAAGTCTTGATTTTAGCAGTAGCCTCTGCTTAAAGAATCAGTCCTCTGACTAGGATAGGCTAATCCTTTATTAAATTGTGTCCTGAGTCCCCGTAGTTATTCTGCTTTCTGAGTGGCCAATGGAGCCTGTGTCTCATGGGCAGGAAGTGTAAGGATTGTATCTGTGTGATTTGCTTTCTTTCATCTGCTTACACACAGACAATTCAAGGAAGTACTTTGCTGTATACTTTATTTTTTTACACTGTTTTATTAAGCCTAATTATAACATTATTCTACTTGAATACCAACGTAGCAATAGCATTCATACTTTAATGCCTAATATTTAATTTTTATAGAAATGATATATCTTTATTAAACCACTCCCTGAAAATATAGATAGCATCATATATTGAATATATTTTAATGCCCAATCCCTTAGTCCCTTAACAGCAAAGACAACTGTGTTATGGGTTTGCAGTGAAATTAATCTTCCCTTTTAAGCCTCTCTCACCTATTGTGCTCTTATGTGACTTTTATCTCTCTATTTTCTTTCTCTTTCCCCTTTAGTTACTGGTCTTGAGAGATGGGTGAGTTTTCTTCTTTGAGATGATGGGGCAGGTATTGCCTGGGGATACTAGCTGGGTTTTACTCCTCTCTCTTGTCCACCCCATAGAACCGAATGTTCCATTATTTTGTCCTCTGCCCCCTTTCCCTTTTGTATAAGTGATTCACATGATGTTACCTCTCTGCGAGTTATTTATATGATATTATTCATAAGTTTATTGTTTGTTACTGCTTAAGAAGATGACTTTACAATGATATATTTAAACTGGATTGTTTGCCTTTTAGGAGTTAGGGAAAGAGGAAGCTCAAAGTGAGAAACAGATGAAAAAGAGTCCTTCACTAACTTCAGAAAAGAGGTTAAGCAGAGTACCATCAAAATCACTGGACTTGAATAAAAATGAGTATCTTTCTCTGGACAAAAGCAGCACTTCAGATTCTGTTGATGAAGGTAAAGAATTTCTTATAAATTTTAATATCATTTCAATTATATCTTTTAATGTTAATCTTTGTATTAGGTGTGTGCAGATTGAGAATTTAGTTGCATTAGGTACAGTCTCACTCTACAAAGAACCAAAAAAATGAAGGAAGTTAACAGAATATAGGGTGAAGAGGCTACTAAACCTAACTCATCTTCACTTTCCAGAAGCCGAATTTGAAAATCTCCATCACATTTAGCTTTTTTAAATCCCAAGCCTTCAGTCAATGGAAATGGAGTAGCAGTGGAAAGCAAATCTCAATAAAAATCTGTTACATTATAATTATACTTTCTTTTAACCACCAAAAATGAGAGGGGCGGGGGGAGGAGAGAGGGAGAGGGAGAGGGAGAGAGAGGTGGAAGTAGAGAATAAATATAAAAAGCAGTTGCTTAAAGGAACGATAGCAAATCATGTTCTCTCTGCTTTCTCTAAGTTAGTATCAATAACTTGGGCTTGTCATACTTATTAAGTGGGCAATTTAAGGATTTAAAATACAACTGTAAGATTATTGACATTGAAGCCAGTGGAGTAGGAAAGCATTGGGGAAGGTTCTGGGTAGTGATTGATTTCAAGTTGAGGAACGGGAACAATGCCTGGGTTTCTCCAGACCCGCTTTCCTACTAGCAGTGCTCAGAATAGTACCGGGGACATTGCCGTGGTTTAGATCTGTAGGACATATGAATGTGCTAGTCTAGTTGCTGTTTAGGTGAGACCTGGTTTGAGAACCCCTGAAATCTTTTACTATCATGAAAACCAAATCCATGAAAATCCACACTAAATCCCAGTCAAGTCTAAATCCAATCCAAATTAAACCCAAATCTAAAGTCAAATCTAAATTCAACCAAACCAAGGCCAAGTCCATGAAAACCCAATCCAAATCAGGTTAGACCTTGGTTTGGGAACCCTGAAGTATCTTTAATAAAACTAAATCCATGCTCTTAAAAACATAGGTAAAAATTCACTGTTTCCTAGAAAGTGCAGGCTGCGTTAAGAAGACAGTTGTTGAGTTCTTTTTGAAAAGATAGTTGAGAGGAAGTATCTTAAAGACATCCGGCTCCTAAATGATGGGATGCCTAGTGTTCTTACCTTTCATGCTTTGGTAGACAGCGGGTATGAATTAGTTATCCCCTGCCTGGCTGAACCTCTGACTTTAGGAAGATCTACTCTGGCACCCAGTGGCCAGATGGGTAAGTGACACCAAAACAAGGATTCTTTTTCCTTTTTCACCTGTTCTTTGTAACAACAGTGCAACATTCGGCCTCTGTTTGTGCAGGTTTTCTTTAATGTGTATGGGATAACTTTTTAATTAGATTACCATTTGCCAACAAATCAAGTACTGCTATTGCTTTCCCTAAGCAGGTTCCAAAATCTTGGGCTTATCAAATGTATTACGTGGGTTTTAGAATGAATCTATTTTTTTTGTTTGTTTGTTTCTGAAAGTTGTGAAGTTATGAAGACTCTTGAAGTCCATGAACTGGGGAGATGATGGGGAAGGTCAAAAGGAGTAAACCATCCCAAGAAATTTGGAAATATGTGTGGGGATTTAGAGGGAGCTAGGGAGATGGCAGATTAAATCAAGCCTCACTTTATTTAAAATGATAGTTTTTTTTTAAAATCTACTATTCTGAGCAGGTTGAGTGAGAAAATGAGAGGATTTCTTTTCTACCACATATATCCTATACTCCTTGGGAAGGAGGCACTGGACTGTTTTAATATAGAGGTTCCTTCTAGGCCCATGTAAACTTTAGAGGAATCAACAAAGCAGAGCATCATAAACTACCTTCCGAGGGGCCTGAAATACTTCCAGCACAGTCCCCTTGCTGTGAGTTCACTGGAGCCCCGCTAGGGAGAGCCTGGAATCTGCTGCGACTAGCTTCTCTTTCAAAGCTCTTACTCTGCACTAGGAAATTTAGACCCCACCAAGAGTGAAGGTTCCCTTTTTGGGGATATTCCTGTACATCCGGAAGCTGGTTTGGGGCTTTCAGCTGCTGAACAAAAGGCTAGCTAGGCATTGTGTTTTAATCTGTTAAACCATATCAGTACATTAAAACTTAGATATATAATAATTCACAGACAAAGCTACAGAACTTTGTTTCTTTAGAGGGTTGTTGCTGATAGACTTTCCTAGCTCACTATTTGCCCACTTTTGGGGAGGAGTTCAAACCATCTGAGAAGCTGCTGGGAGTTTCCTGGCAAATGAAGGTGAGTGGACACCATGTAATGTATCCACATCCACAAGTACTAGGAGATTATGGCTGTGTTTTCAAGGCTCTAATATTTCTGTTGCTTTCAGGATTTGCTTCTTCCACATGCCCTGCTCTGTCATGCCAGGGGTAGTCTGTGAAGCATCTGCCCAGGAGGTGGAGCCTTGAGTGGGAGCAGACAAACTAGCTCATGGCCTGAGACACCTGCGCTGTGTCATGTGATAGAAGTTAAATTTAGTTTTGTATAGCGGAGGCTTCCCTAACCAAAGTGACTTATGCCGAGAATGGAAACTAAGGCAAAGATTAAGTGGGGGGGAGGAGCGCATAAAAATAGCAAAATTGGAATCCATGGTCTACAGCTGACAGAACAAGATGAGTTAGAGGCAAAGCCATGCAAAGAGAAACAGGAATCAGAATATCGAGTGATGCTTATTAATTAATAAAGGTGAGGACAAGTATACCTCTGGGGAAAGCCAAAGAAAAAGCTATGACATAGTCTAGCATGTCAGGCAAGCAGCTTAACGGGGTAACCCTGACACCGTTACCAGAGTTAGGTTTTTGAACAACACTATCAAATTAAACGTGGCTTTTCAGGTGTAAAGAAAGCCCTCAAACTGAGTCAAGAAGACGCAGGTCACCAGTTTTTAGAAAATGGAAGAAGATATAACAAACTGTGTCCTCAGTCCCTCAGTGAAGCTCCGAGTCACTTGCTTTTCTTGCATGTCTACTTTCATGCTCCTTCAACACACTGTCAGCATGTTCCAGTTTTATTCATGTCCGTGTCCTTTTCCGATCTATCTGTCCCACTTTCCCCACCATTTCCACTGGCCACTTTCAAACTGGTATGTTGAAGTGATAGCTCTTCTTCATTGGAAATGGTGACCTGCTGTGACGTTGAGCAGTGCTCCTTTCCCCATTTAAATAGCAGCTGCCAGCTCAGGAGGTCACAGCAATGCTAATGGTGATGTTACTTGGATAGGAGGCTCTAAAATACCATGAATTTCATACATAAACTAGAGGCCTAGTGCATGAAATTTTGTGCACTGGTGTGTGTGGGGGGGGTCCCCTCAGCCCGGCCTATGCCCTCTCGCAGTCTGGGACCCCTCACTCCTACCACCCACCTACAATGGAGGCAGGAGAGGCTCCCGCCACCACCGCAGCCGCTGCACTCACTAGCTGTGAGCCTGGCTTCTGGCTCAGCGGCACTCCCCCTGTGGGAGCGCACTGACCACCAGGGGGCAGCTCCTGCGTTGAACATCTGCCCCCTGGTGGTCAGTGTGCATCATAGCAACCGGTAGTTCCTGCTGTTCAATCAATTTGCATATTAGGGTTTTATTATATAGGATAACCCCAGGTGGAAATAGTTGATTTCATGTACTTACTTCTTCAAACAAATTTACATACCAGAGGTATTATTGTTAATTTCCTTTAGTGATACCACAGATTCTGTTTTTATCATTTATGATATAGAGCAATTTATCTCATAAGGGAGCTTAAATGAAATATGAAAATATTATATTGAAATGCCTATATGAGAGGGATTTGTTTCCTTCTTAAATGTGAACAAGAACTTTACTTGTGAAAAATTATAGCTCCAGGGCTCCTCAGAGAAATGGTTGCTTCTAGGGCTGGGATGGGGAATATATATAATGAGCCTGGAGTGTCTCGTAGTGCCAGAAAATAAAGTACCTAAAATAAAAGGGAGGCGCGACCAAGGGACACAGGAGTCCACCTGAAAGAGCTCCTGATGGCCAAATAAAAAAGTTGGAGCAACAAAATAAATAATTCTCATGGACTAGAGAATAGAGTAAGTTCACAATGATATAAATGATTGAATAAATACACAATGGAGGAGAAAACACAAATCTCCCGCACAGAGTTCCAAATAATGTATGTAGATACTCCCCCTTCCAGGAGGTGGAGGGTAATTCTCTCCTTGAGTGTGGACTGAACGTAGTGACTCATTCCTAACAAATCGACTGTTGGAGGGGGAATATGGTAGCTCTGCAATGGAGAAACCTGCCAGACACAACCTTAAACAAGCGATCAAGGTTAGCATCATCACAAATCATGTTGACATGTCTACCCCCACCTCCCCAGTTTGATGTGGAGGGCACTTCACCTTTGTGGTGTTCTTTCCCCAAATCCACAGCCCTGGTCTAATCATGAGGAACCCTCATGAGCCCAGAGTGAGTGACATGCTATAAAACATCTCACCAGTGCTCTTCAAATGTGTTAAGGCCATAAAAAAAAAAAAGGCAGGAGGAGGGACTGTCATAGATTGGAGGAGATTAATGAGATATAACAAGTAAATGCAACATGGTATTTTGGATTGGATCCTAGTTCAGAAAAGGACATTATTGGCTGGGGGTGGGGGGGAGAGTATTAAAGCCTAGTTTAGTTAATTGTACATCTACAATTACTCAAAAATAAGATGATTAAAAGTATGGTTGCAAATTCAGAGTTCTATAAATAAAAATAGACCCTAAGGTATTTTTAGTGTTTTCAATAGCCACTAAACAAATTTACATACCAGAGGTATTACTGTTAATTTCCTTTAGTGATATCACAAATTCTAAATTTGTTCAATCAAAAGTAGTTATTTCATACTCATTGTCAAGCATTATGTCAAGCACATAATGTACATTGGTGTTTAAAGTCAACATGGTCCCTACTCACATGGAACTTAGAGTTCAATGCAGGAGAGAGACAATAGGCAAGTCAATAAGCCAACAAAAATATAATTACAAGTTGGGATAAGTTCTGTGAAGAAATGAGCTGGATCAAGAGAATCACCTGTACTTACTTGTATTCTTTGTGAATATCTGAATTATTTTTTACAATGAACATATATTACTTCTATGTCAGAAGGGCTATTTATCAAGCCTAATTGGGAAGCTGCCTCACAAAATCTTAGCAAGTTGTCTAGTTTCAGTGATTCATTTCTATGCAGAAGGAGCCATTATTTGAAATTGCAGTGGAGAGCTTTTGCCTACAGGAGTAAGTCAATATTTACTTGATATCTCTAAGTTCTGTGCATCTATAGCAAAGTAGAGAGACAAATCATTTAATGATGGAGAACAAGCAATAGTTGGGATGAAGACAGAGCTAGAAAGGTTTTCTGATTCTTAGACCAGTCTTTTACTTTCCCAAACTGCTTCCTGTGGTGTAATACAGGCGGATGCTCTACACAGACAATTCTTAGAACTTGATTTCTGAAATATAGGGAGTTATGGGCACAGTTTCCATTTTGTATTGATGGGGCATAATCCTTGAAATAATAAATAACCTCAGTCCTGAAATCATTAAAATTACATACTGGATTGCTTGACTCTATTTCCCTTACTTTACCAGGCTCCTATGCCTAGCTGTCTTTTCTTTCTGATTATTCTAAGTTAAACTCCTCGAAGTATAAATAGAGGTTAAGTTTGTGTGTTTTGGAGCTGTAGTGATTTCCAGTTCCAATTCAGCCACTCCCTAACTGTGGAGCTTTGGCGATCACTCCGTGCCTCAGTTTGCTCATCTATGCCATGGAAACGATGTTGACACCGCTTATCTCGCACGATTGCTGTGAGGATGAGTGAATATTTGTAAGGTGCTTAGCACCATGTATGGCATATAGTAAGTGCCACAGAAGCATGGGCTATTTTATAGAATGTTCCCTAGGACTATGAGGAGAGGTGAGCAGATACTGCTTCTTTAATTGTGGCCAGTAGTTTTCAACCTAATTATCATTATTAGGTTCCCAGAAAAAAATGTAATATTTCATTGGACATTATTTAGCTTTGAAGCATACTTTTCAGAAGGATTTCTTTTTTTAATGTGTGGCATTAAGAATAGGGTGTGAATACAGTGTTACCTGACTTGGGGGAGTCAGCTCTGAGAACGTATTCAGGCTAGTGAGTGAGTCAGTGCAGCAGGTACTAGAGCCATTCACACTTTATATGTTTGCTGACTGCATGAGCGCTCAGAAATGCGGCCTGCTAAGTGTGGTGGTATATACTGCTCCACGCATCTCAGTTTTGCCCTTGAAACCTTTGAAATATTCTTTTGAAGGATACATTATGGGAGTTTGATATCATTCAAAGTTAAATATTTCTCTATCTTTTGGGTATTGACAATTGAAATATTGATCATTATAGTTTAATTAACTATATACTCTTATGTATAGTTATACATCATGCATACGTATGTACACCAATTTAGAGTTTTTAATAGTGCCCTGAATGTGCTGATCACTGTAATCACATTTAAAAACTATTTTGTACCACAAATAAGCAAACAAAACCAAACCTTAAAATTACCTTTCCTTGTTTTCTTCTCTTATGGTTCTGTTTTTCCCCCCCACAGAAAATATTCCTGAGAAAGATCTTCGTGGAAGACTTTATATCAACCGCGTTTTTCACATCAATGCTGATAAAATGTTTGAATTGCTCTTCACCAGTTCACGATTTATGCAGAGATTTACCAATTCTAGAAATATAATAGGTTGGTTTTTGTGTTCTTATCTGACAAATTTGGAAATATTTTATTCTCTCTAGAAGGTGATATATATAAAGTGATTTACATTGTCAGGGGGGAAATTAGGTTCTGACATTACTATTGTGATATATAAACTAGTGTTTAAGTGTTTTGATTAAATTCACATATAAACAATAGTTGTCCAATTAGTCAGATCCTACCTACGATTCCATTCAGACCCTTTGAAAACTAAAACTCTATTTATTTATTAATGTAGCAGTTCAGTTGAGTTGAACCCATTTTAAAGGGGTGATTGTGGAACAGCTGGGTGCTAGTAGAGTGTAAATTGGTACAATCACTTTGCAATATGGTTTAGCAGAATCTACTAGAGCTGATCCTAGACCTTCTCTCTGACTCAGCAATTCTACTACTAGGCATATATTTTTCAGAAATGGGTACATGTGTACCATGAATGACATGTACTATTATTCATAGTAGCATTATTTATAATGCCCCAAAACTCAAAAAAGCCCAAATGTCCACCAGTTCTAGGCACAAAAAATAATTGTTTATTATTCATAGTAGAGTAGCAAAGCATTTTCTAACTGTTATTAGAGTCTTGTGATTATATAAAGAATTTCATAGTTTAAAAAAATCTATTATCTCTTCGGAATCTATTTTGTATTTTCTTGCTATTCACGTTTGCCTGTTGAACTTGACCTTTCAGAAGAGTTGGATACATTATTTCTCTTAATTTTTTAAGACGAAGCCTGTTGATACCGCATTTTGAATCACAACTGTGTTTAGTGTCCTTCATCACTTCTGGCTTCAGTGTGGATGAATATATGTGCTATCTGGTGTTGTAAGTGGCTTTGGGAAGCAAAGGCTTCTGGCTAGTTCTAAATCTGAACTGTTATAGGCATATTGTTATTTAGACCTAGAATTACTCGGAAGGTTTTCTCCAAAAGAGAGAATGTGTTTATGATTGCACATCATTATGATGTCTTCTGAACTTGTTACCCGGTAATCAGTTATATTTCTTGATAATGGATTTCAAAGGCTTCTTTTGAAAAGTATTGTGGCCCTGGCTGGTGTGGCTCTGTTGGTTGGAACACTGTCCTGTGCACCAAAAGGTCTGCCTGTTTGAATCCCAGTCAGGGCACATGCCCAGGTTGTGGGTTTGATGCCTGGTTGGGGGGCATGTGGGAGGCAACCGATTGATGTTTCTCTCTCTCCCCCAACGTCTCCCTTCCCCTCTCCAAAATCAATAGAAATATATGTTTTAAAATATTTTGAATATAATGAAAATGTTTTCATAGTCAATTTGTAGATTTAATCTAATCAGCACTAAAATGGCTACAACTGGATCTAATTATAATTTTTTTAAATTAGGGAGCTTTTAAATTGGTTTTCTTTTAAGCCTTTGTTTATAGTTATATGACTACTTCTGTATTTCAAAGCTTAGTTTTGTCCTTTTATTCAACTTTTTAACTTTGAAAAGATGTAAATCTTCAGAAAAATTTCATGAATAGTCTAATAAAATACACATACCTATCACCTAGCTTCACCAATTTTTTTTATTGTGATAAAGGTATGAAGATAAGATACCATTTTAAAGTATACAATTTAGTGGTATTAAATATATTAATATTGTTGTGCAGCCATCACCACCACCCAGCTCCAGAACTTTTTTCATTTTCCCAAACTGAAACTCTGTACCCATTAAACAATAATTATCCATTACCCCCTCCTCCCAACTCCTGATGATCACTATTCTGCTTTCTCTTTTAATTTGACGAGCTAGGTACTGCCTATAAATGGAATCATACTATATTTGTCTCTTTGTAAGTGGCTTATTTCACTTACCATAATGTATTAAAGGTTTATCCACGTTTTATCATGTGTCATAACTTCATTCCTTTTAAAGGCTGAATAATATTCCATTGTATGTATATACCACATTTAGTTTATCCATTCATATATTGATGAAGTTCTGAACTGTTTCCACTTTGTGTGTGTTAATCCTCACTTGAGGATATTTTTTCATTGCTTTTCAGAGAGAATGCAAGGGAGGGAGAGAGCGGGGAGAGAAATGGAGGGGAGAGAGAGAAAGAGGAATAGAGGGAGAGAGAGAGAGAAAGAGAGGGGGAGAGAAAAGAGAGAGAATTGTTGTTAATCCTCACCTGAGGATTTTTCCCCCAAATTCTTTTCAGAGAGAGTGGAAGGGAGGGGGAGAGAGAGAGAGAGAGAGAGAGAGAGAGAGAGAGAGAGAGAGAGGTGTGAGAGACACATTGACTAGTTGCCTCCTGCATGCGTCGGGAATAGGGGCGGGGAGCGAACCACAACCCAAGTAAGTGCCCTTGGCTGGAAATCAAACCATGACCCCTTGGTGACCACACTGGCTAGGACTGTTTCCACTTTTTGGTTATTGTGAATAATGCTGCTGTAAACACTGATGTACAAATATCTGTTTGAGCCCATGCTTTCAATTCTTTTGGGTACATACCTAAAAGTGGAATTTCTGAATCATAAGGTAATTCTTTGTTTAATTTTTTGACTGTTTTTCATAGTGGCGACATCGTTTTACATTCCTACCAGCAATGCATAAAGATTGCAGTTTCTCTACATCCTCACCAAAATGTTATTTTCATTTTTTGTGTGATAATAGCCATCCTAATAGGTGTGAAGATTCACCAATTTTAAACCTTATTAATCAAAGGATTCTTAAAGTATTTGTTCTGAAATTCCTGATTTTTATTATTTCAACTCAATAAATTAAAATGGCTCTCTTGCCTTTTTTTTTGTATGCTGTTGCCATTTTTCTTAAAATTTCATCCCATATTTTTATACCTTGAGCTTTACTCAGGTATTGGGGAACTTGACTTTTCCAAGATGTTGTGAGTTAGATGATGTCATGGCACATGAGACTCAATAGGTTTGTTGGTAACATTGGTGAAAATACAAGTAGAAGGCACTTTTTGTTATCCTTGTTGATGGCTGCTTTGTTGAATAGTTTTTTTTTTTAATTAAATCTTTATTGTTCAGGTTACATTTGTTCCTCTTTTTTTCCCCCCCATAACTCCGATGATGTCATGGCACATGAGATTCAGTAGGTTTGTTGGTAACATTGGTAAAAATACAAGTAGAAGGCACTTTTTGTTATCCTTGTTGATGGCTGCTTTGTTGAATAGTTTTAACAACAGCATTCAACAATATCTTTCAATTCTATTGCTGATTCACAATGGATTATTTGTATAATTTTTCTGAAACAGGCTGGCATATGACCAAAGTAACCTTTGAATAGCATTTTAGAATTTTACAGCTTTCATGTAAAGAAATAATTTGTATAGCAAATTCTGGATGATATATTCCATGGTTTGTGATGTTGCTTTTTTAATTCAGTTGTAAGATTCTTCCATATACTCAGAAGGCAGCTTCAGGGTCCCTCTTTAAATCCCTAGACCTAGCTGTATGAAAGAAATAAAGTAAAATTGGGTAGATCATAATGCCTGGCTTCATTCCTCTGATGATAGGTAATGGGTTAACTAAAGGCTCTTATATCTTAGGATGCTATGAATAGCAGCCAGACGACAAATTGCCCAAGTCCATTTGTGCTAACAGCATTAGATGATTGAGTCAGATCTTTGAATAGTTCCTGATGCTGTTACCTCTACTTTACTAGTCTTTGGCTTGTAAGATGACCTTGCTGTATAGTGCTATATTCTAAAGATACATTCGGTTCAAAGTGTGTTTCTACTCACTGTGTTGTTGCTAAGCAAATAAAAGAGAATTTTGACGAAGGTCTTGCTATAAATACAGAGAGATTATCCTGTAGCGTGTGCTACATAGGCTACATAGTTATTTGTATTCCTTCACCCCCTCCTTATTTAAAGATTTCAGCAGCTAAGCCATTAACATTATATGACTTCTCATTGACATGATTTCTCCACAAGTTGGGATCCAGGCCACATTGTTGTATAAGGACACAAGGCTTTGTCTTAAATGATGGGAATGCTGAGTGTTTTTTGGTCTCTGTTTGATAAGGCTGGTGCTATCATTTCTTTTTGTAGATTATGGAGGAGTTATTTATTTTTAAATGTTTTTATTGATTTGAGAGAAAGAGAGAGAGAGAGAGAGAGAGAGAGAGAGAGAGAGAAACATTGATGAGAAAGAGAAACACACTCCCTGCACACCCCCTCCTGGGGATCGAGCCCACAAACCTGAGCATGTGCCCTGACCGGGAATGGAATCAGCGACTTCTCGGTGCATGGGATGACACTTAACCACTGAGCAACACTGGCAAGGGCAGTAACTGGGGACTTTAAAAAGAAGCCTACAGATGAACCAACTTTTACTTTATCTTAGAAAGAAAAGTAAAAAAAATGTATTAATAGACAACACTTACAGAGGAACCTCTGGCCCGTGGGCCATATAAGGCCCGTGAAATCATATGGTCTGGCCCTGCCAAGGCATTAGGGGTGAATTGATGAAATGTTTGACCAAATATAGCAGGCTAATTTTTAAGTTGACCTCCAAATGATGTTATAAATATCAAATGGCCCTTAGCAGGAAAAAGTTTCCCCACACCTGATAGAAGTAAATAGATCTTATATGTCACATATAAGAAGAGTGCCTAACAATTACTTTTACTTTTGGACTGGTCAAAAATAAAATTTAAATAATTCAAAAACTACCTCTTTCATTCATTTCAAGTCATACCCTTCAGATTTCTAGAACTAACTCATTTATGCTTGCTGTGAATAGATGTAGTATCTACCCCTTGGAATGTGGAACCTGGAGGCAATCAACTGAGAACCATGACCTACACCATAATTCTTAATAATCCGCTCACTGGGAAGTGCACCACTGCCACAGAAAAGCAGGTATGTCCCCTCATCAGTATTCCAGAAGAATCACACATGTGGGAAGAGAGAAAATGCCTTTCCCAGTCACCAGTTCACAAAACAATGTCAACAAATAAATGGCAAGAGGAAAAGGGAGCAGAAACTGTTATAGATTAAAAGAGACTTAAGAGGCATTTCAACCCAATCCTAATTCAAACAAACCACCTGTAAAGTCCTCATGAGATTTAAGAAATTGTTAACTTTTTGTCTGTAATGGTATTATAACTATATTTTAAAGGAAAGAATATTTATCTTTTAAAGAGACATAATGAAAAATTTATAAAGAGATAAACATATTTATGTGTTTACTAGAGGTCCGCTGCACGGATTCGTGCACGGGTGGGATTTGGCCAGCCTGCCCCATCAAGGCCAATCAGGCCGGGCCAGCTAGAGGAAGGGGACTCCAAGGTTGGCCCTGTCCCCCAATCAGGGTGGGGGGCCGATCGGGGCCGGTTGGAGGGAGGGGCCCTGGGCAGTTGGCGGGCCGCCCCCCCACCCCCCCGTTGAACTAAGGTTGAACTCCCAGTCAAGGGGACAATTTGCATATTACCATTTTATTATATAGGATGCATGAAATTCTATTGATGTCTGGGATATTCTTTAAAAGTAACTAGCCAGGCAGAGGATGGTGTGTGTATGTGTGTGAGAGGGATTGTAGGACTGGGTATAGATGAAACAGGACTAGGCAGAGTTAATGTTGTTGAAGCTGGTTGATGAGCTTATGAGGGGTCATTATGCTTAATTTCTACTCTTGTGTATGTTTGAACCTTTTATTTTTATTTTTAAAAAAAATATATTTGGTATGTGCCTGCAACCAAGGTACATGCCCTTGACCGGAATCGAACCTGGGACGTTTGAGTCCGCAGGCCGATGCTCTATCCACTGAGCCAAACCGGTTAGGGCTGTTTGAACCTTTAAAAAAAAAAATAAGTGGGTTTAAAAAAAAACTCTAATGGCAGGGCTGGAGTGGCTCAGTTGGTTGAGTGTTGTCCTGTACACTGATTCCGTTCCCATGGGGTACATATAGGAGGCAACTGATCAATCAATCTCTCTCTCTCTCTCTCTCTCTCTCTCTCCATGTCCTCAGGTGAGATTAAAATAATAATAATAATAATAATAATAATAATAAAATAAAAAGAACGCTATTGGAATTTGATTTGCAGAATCATGCCAAGGGTTAGGGTCAAATAACTAGACGGCTGCTGTGACATGGGGAAGAGATGATAAGATATTTAATACCCCGCTCAGTGCCAGCATGGCACTGTTTTATAGCAGAGCTTGTGTTTGGCCAATTTGTGTTGAAGTATAGTGCATCTGTTGTGCAAATAGTTTGAAAATATCTGTTAACATCTGAACTAATTATGCTATTGTAGTTTTGTCCACCAGTGTTAAAAATGTCTTAAATTTTTTTTCAAAAGAATTTCAGACAATTAAGAAAAGTTTGGTATTTTGGTATGAGATTCTTTGATAACCTTAGAGAATAAGTATAAAAGGTATGATTGCAGTAAGAAATTTTTGGCCAGCAACCACTTCAACCTGTTTAGGAAAAGCAGTTTTTTGTTTGGTGGCCTGCTTTTTTGGTGAAGGGTAGTTTTATGAAACTTTGATGAATTTGGGGGTAGGGTCCTTAATTTGTTCAAACGATTTTTGAATTGTTTCCTAACAGGAACATTTAAAATTCTTTATAAACTATACATATTAAATATACATAAGAGATTATATGGCTGCTTTCTCCTCCTCATGTCTAAAAGGAAGAAAAATAATTACACTATGAAATAGCGGAGAGGAAGCAAATACCATTTCGGCAGGCCCCTTCTTCTCAGTTCACAGACAGCACAGCCAACGTGGAGGCTTTTCTGGCTTTGTACATAGGCTTGGCATGTCTTTTGTAGTTTCTGAAAAAGAATTCTAATATATATGTTCGGAATGGGCAAGGAATCTGATATATTAAACATGCACATGCAAAATAATTTTATTGTATTTTGGCAGACACTGTATAAAGAAAGTCGGGAAGCACAATTTTATTTGGTAGATGCAGAAGTGGTGACGCACGATGTCCCCTACCATGACTACTTCTATACCGTGAACAGATACCACATCTTCCCATCTTCTGAGCAGAAATGCCGGTTGAGGTGAGCTACTGCAGATGAATGTTTTAGTCCGGAGAGATAGGTTAGATTATGCTCTGGTAACAAAGTAGTAGTCCTAAGACCTTAGTGGTAGCTTTCCACAACAAAGCTTTATTTTTCATTCAAATTACACATCCACCGTTGGTCAGCAGAGAGAGGGGGCTCCTCCCTCCACATCCAAGCCCATGGAGGTTCAGACATCCTGGAGCTACACAACCCAAGAGTATGTGTCATTTCAGCTGCTACAGAAAGAACTGTGCTCGCAATTCAGTAGCCAGAACTAAGTGCGGGACCCTGTTTAATGGCCAGGGCCCTGGGAGTTCTAGAGGAGCACATGGTCGCAATGGGAAAGAAGAAATGTCGGTGCATTAAAGTTAATGATGTGCCATCAGACACTTGGCCTAGTCTTAGCCAATGTACTTATCGTCAACTAATTTATGAGCACTGGAGATTTTTTATACAAGGCGCTTAGAAAATTTAGACTTAATTTTGAGCTTTTTCTGCTATTTAAGTAAAGGAACTTCTGGGTGAGAGAAAGGAAAGAAATAAAATGTCAAGTACTTAGAAGGAAAATTTGATGACGTTATTAATCATACATAGTAATTTTTGAAAGAAGTCATTATCAGTGAACACATTTTCTTTTATAATCTAAATGACTTTAAATCCTTTCAGTTCCCCACGGAATACAATCTTATATTTAATTGCAATGTTAATATAACTAAATTCTGTCTTGTAAATAAATATTATTCTTATCCTGTTAGAGTTTCCACAGACGTGAAATACAGAAAACAGCCATGGGCCATTATCAAATCTGTAATTGAGAAGAATTCCTGGAGTTCATTGGAAGACTATTTCAAACAGCTTGGTTTGTTAATTTCTTGATTTATATATTTTTGTAAAGATAGCATTTATTAACAAAATGGACTAATTATTAATTTGGATTCATAGCAGAAACTGGTAGATGATGTTGGAATGACTCCCACTGAAGTGTGGTTATGACTACCCCACTTGGAATTTCAAACTTCTAATTTTCATTGGTCTAACAAACACTTACATAATTCTTACTGTAAGCCAGATATTGCTCTATGTGCTTTATAAATATCAACTCATTACAACCTATGAGCTAGGTATTACTATTTTTTTCCATTTTACTAAACAAGAAGTATTGAAACACAGAAGAAGAGGTTAAACGATTAGCCCAAGATCACAGTTAGGAGATGTCACACTTGCCTGACTCTGCAGGGAGCCAAGGAAGCTGACTGTAGTGAGGGCCTACATACTGGATCACACATGTGCACCAGTACTTGTTAATGTATGGACAGTTCTCAGCCCACATCTGCCTTACCAACGCAGCTTTCCTGGGTTTGTGCAGGCCCACTGCACAATGGTATAATGTACATGCATGAATTTTGTGGAGGTGGGTACTAGACTGGGGGAAGTAATACAATAATTCTGCTTGGATATTCCTTAAAATATACATGAGAAAAAAATATACCTACATGAGCATAATTAATTTTAGTTAAAGCAAAGCTGGTGGTCAGTCAACTCGGGTAATTTGCCTATCATCCTCTAGATTATTGATTGTTTTATTTCCTTGCTTTTCTTTCTTTGGTTATTTCATTATTAAACTCCTAATCAGGAGCAAAGAAAATGAAAATCAAAAATTAGTTTGGCCACTGGATAATGAGCTTCTAATGAAAAAAACTTGTAAAGGTAAAAGTTGAAACAATTGACAAAAAATGAGTTTTTTAGGTTGTTTGCAGATTTTCTTTATTAGGGCTTCCTTTTTTGCAAACCCTTATTGTAAATTAGTACTATTATTTGCTACTCCTTCCTTTGAAATTGACCATCAGGTACCATAATCTATCTTGGAAATCTTTCTGATGATCTAATATTAGTGGGTAGCCTGTTGTTTCTATAACTGAAATCGTTACATTAATATTTAATATAGTACATGGCAAATTTGCTCTGATGATCCCATCATTTATTAATAGAGTTCATTCTTCCTAGAATAATGAAGCCTTATTATGGGATCACTGTATTCTCTAAAACTTTTCATTAAGAGTAAGGTTTGAATGTAGGCCATAAGAACCCAAGTAATTGTTAAAGAAAGTTTCTAAGGCTTAAAAAAAACCAAACAGAACACAAAACCAACACCATATCCACTGTATCTTACAGTTGAGAAGCTTTCTCTAATACCTAAAGATTTTTTTTCTTCTTAGAATCAGATTTGTTAATGGAAGAATCTATGTTAAGTCAGCCCATTGAAGACCCTGGAAAACTTAGTGGCCTACGAAGGAGAAGGCGGACATTCAACCGAACAGCAGACACGGTTCCTAAACTTTCTCCTCAGCGTTCTTCTGGAGACGGGGGTTTAGATGACAAAGGGGATACTGCAGGTAGCTATTATCTGGTGGAAGATTTTAGTTTACTTATATGAAGCAGAATATGTCTCTTGAGCAGTTGCAAAATAGCAGGCGTATGGTCAATTGGAGTATCTTATTGGATCACATGGCATTTTAAAAAATGGACATTTTATTAAAAACTCAGACCTGACAGCCCTGGACCAAATCCTTTCATAGCAACAGTTAGTTGGAACTTAATAGTAGCTGCTGCATTAGACCATGTCCCCAGTCACCAGTCCCCACCACTTGTCCCGGCTGCTGGACACTTCGCTCATTAATTTCCTGCTCAGCACTTACAGACATTTGATTTCTACCCTTGAATGTACTACAGTGATTATATGTTTTAATTCTTATATACTGTCAAGGCCAGTCCAGCAAAATTACAAAGATGGAACTTCTTTATTTTTTTAATCCTCTCCTGAGGACATTTTTCCATTCATTTTTAGAGAGAGTGGAAGAGAGGGAAAGACAGAGAGAAACATTGATGTGAGAGAAACACATTGATTGGTTGCCTCCTGCACACACCCTACCAGGCTCCAATCTGGGGAGGAGTCTGCAACCAAGGTATGTACCCTTGACTGAGATTGAACCCTGGACCCTTCGGTCCGCAGGGTCTATCCACTGAGCAAAATGGGCTAGGGCGGAATTTGACTTTATTATCCTCACTGCTCTCAATGTTGAAGACATCCTGCCTATACTAACGTTATTTCCTCCCTCTTGGAATTCTAAAGCTGCAATACTTTCTCGTCCTTCTACATTATAAAATGCTCTTCTAAGGCTATTTTCCCCCCGCTTTTTAAAAATAAAAAAAAAAATATTTAATGTTGACATTGCAGGTGTCCCCCTTTCCTCCCCTTTGCCCACATCCACTCACTCCCGCCTCCCCCTCCCTTGGCCTTCTTATTTCTCAGTGTGACTATGTTCAAGCCAATGGCCCAGTTTTGGAATTTCAAAGTATGGGCAATAGAGAACAGGCAAAGATGACTTAAAATTTTTTTAAAGGAGGGAAGTATTATACATAAACCTAGCTCAAATATTGTTTGCCGAGATAGAATTCAGCTAGAGATCATACATGATGTGTTGAATTGCATATTTAATTTTAGAGCAAATTAATTTGTAGTATAGGCCAAATTTGGAGGATTCATGTAAGTTTTCCTTTTGTAGATGTGTTTCATATTACTCAGGATATCAGAAACCACGAAAAGAGCAGGGAATTCACCCTAAGTCACTTTGTCTTCAGAAATAATTTTTAAAAATCTCTTTTCTAGTTCTTTTCAAATGAAATTAAAATTTGATTGGTTGTAATCATCATCCTGATTTTAATGCAGCCTTCTTTGTGTGTGATCTGTAGGAAAGAAAAAAGAAACGGAAAGCTATCACACCGCCCTTATTGTGGTGATGAGTATTTTGTAAGTATTTATTTTGAATACTTATTTAGCTTATGATTTCACTTTTAACAGTTTACAAAAAGATTGATGCATTTGTATATTATTATGTAGAACTTGCCACTATTGGACCAGTTTGGGCCTACAGATACAGTAATTTTATTTATTTTTTTAAAAATGTATTTTATTGATTTTTTACAGAGAGGAAGGGAGATGGATAGAGAGTTAGAAACATTGATGAGAGAGAAACATCGATCAGCTGCCTCCTGCACACTCCCCACTGGGGACGTGCCCGCAACCAGGGTACATGTCCTTGACCGGAATCGAACCTGGGACCCTTGAGTCCGCAGGCTGACGCTCTATCCACTGAGCCAAACTGGTTAGGGCGATACAGTAATTTTATAGTCTTCTGTTTCATAGTTGTTGATGTATGATTTTCAGAAGAATTATTAAATTTATAAATTATAAAACAAAATGTTTTTATTTTTTAAACTAATTTGATTGATTTCTTGTGTCATAAGTTTTTATGAGATGTTCCATAAATTTAAACGGAATATCTATATATATAAAAGCCTAAGCGACCATTATGATGGAATGACCAGAACGACCAGTCCGCCAGTCACTATGATGCACACTGACCACCAGGGGGCAGATGCTTAATGCAGGAGGTGCCCCCTGGTGGTAAGTGTGCTCCCATAGGGGGAGCGCCACTCAGCCAGAAGCTGGGCTCACAGCTGGCGAGCACAGCTGCAGTGGCGGGAGCCTCTCCCGACTCCGCGGCAGCACTGCCGAGTGGGGAGCGATGGCAGCAGGCCAAGATGAGCGGCACGGCGCCTGGCCCAGGTATGGGCTCCTCCCTGGCCGCCTGCTGCTTGGCGCACTGCTACATCCCTTGGGAGATGTCTGACTGCCATGGGAACCAGGCCTAAACTGGCAGTTGCACATCCCCCAAGGGGTCCCGGATTGTGAGAGGGTGTAGGCCAGGCTGAGGGGACACCCCTCAGTGCGTGAATTTCTTGCACCAGGCCTCTAGTTTATTTTTATATGCAGACTGGTGAAATCCCAATAATGCTATATTACTCTTTTTTATTAGACCAGTAATCCTTGCCCTTTACTGTGAATAAGAATCACTTACTAAAATGTAGATTTCTCAGTTCCAGTTTCAGAGATTGTGTGTAGGTCTTGAGTAGGGATCAGGAATCAGTAATTTAAAATACTGCAGGTTATTCTGATGAAAGTGGTCTGAGGGTCACATGAAGAGAAATATGTAGTGGGCAATTAGTGTGAATCTCAGAGTGTTCTACAGGAGTCCATTTAGCCAGTCATGTTTAGAGTGCTGTCATCTACATGGCCATATGTGAATCTTGAGGTAGTCCATTAGATTCTATTTAATTGGTTCTGACAGAGTGATATACTCTGGAATTTTTTTGGAATGAAGTTCTTATATCAGCTGTTTTTTCTAATTACAGATTTCAGAACATAGGAAATAACTGTTGTGCCTTTGAGTTTTATAAAAAGGTTTTCATATTCTGGTTAAGTCAGTTTGCCATGACAATTGTGAATAGTAAATATTATTAATGGTCTTTTGTATTATTACTTTGCAGAAAGTTTATACTCAAAATGTTGAAATGTTCATCTATGTATCATTTCAGTGCCATAATAATTTCATAATTTGATTTTCTTGCTACTACATTAGTTTTCATTTTAAAAAAAATCCTCTTCTTGATGGATAAAGGAGAATACTGTATATTTTTAAGGGCAAATCAATTTTAACAGAAAAAAAATGAGATATGCTACCTATATATTTGCATATATGTGTAATAAGAAATATATCCATTTACTTGAAAGGCTGCTGTGAGAACCAACAGAGTAAGTTCATGTAGCATGTAACATTTTATATCTGATACAATTAATATATATTTCAGATATGATACTTTCTTTGTCCAAGTTGAACTTGTGGAAATTTTTGCTGAATGGTTATTTTTAAAAATTTATTTTGGTTTCCACTGGGAATAACAGGTACATCATGATCTACCTAAGATTAGTCCATATTGATCTTCATTTTCTGTTTGAAGTATAGCATTATGGGCTTATAACTGCTTAAGCCAAAAAGCACCCAAAAACCGATATTGAAAGCTTGCCTGGTAGAGGTCTAAGCTGGGGGTCACACCTCAGCACAGAGAGATGTCAGGGACTATTGTCATTCCAGTTACTTTCTTTTTTCTCAGTGTCCATTTCATACTTAAAAGTAATGATGTTACGTAATAGGGATAACTGATTTAAATACTAACAATAATTGGAAATTGGTTGGGTAATGTACATCTTTGAAGGCTTGGCATGTTTTCTCTGCATTAGCAGTGCTCTAGGTCTGGATAAGAGGGGATTGACCAGGTATGCTTTGCTCTGCCCAGCTTGCTGTTCCTGGTTTTGTTGAATGTGACACTGTTTATGAAGCTGTCAAGGATAGAATATGCTGCTCAGGCTGTTTACCGTCTCCACCTCCAAGAAGAGAAATCTTTAAAGTAAGTTTTTCCTCCCTCCAACCTGTTATTATTTCAATAATTCCTTAATGTAAAACACAATTCCCGTTTTTGAGATTTTGGCCTGCTAACTTTTCTATAGTCACACTGTTTTTGTTCCTTAATTTCTTGTTTTGTTTGTAAATTTATGGAGCACTAGTGATTTCTAGAAATAAAAGATTAGCAGCTCTTCCCCTGATTTTTAAATGGTCTTTTTCTTTCAGTTTAGCCTCTGACATGGTGTCAAGAGCAGAAAACAATCAAAAGCATAACGATCAGGCCCATCGCTTAAAAGGAGTGCTCCGAGACTCCATCGTGATGCTTGAAGAGGTAGGCAGCTCTGTGTCCGCTTGTATATCTCTGGTTGTAAGAGGATATTTCATATGTCATTATTTGAAGAAACTTCCTCCTACAGGTACTACCCTTGCCAGTTTCTGGATTTTGCATATTACATATACTAGAGGTCTGGTGCATGAATTCATGCACAGGTG